CCAGGCCGTCCACAGCGGGTGCTGGTGACCAGGGATGGGGCCTGCTCACTGGAATCCAGGAGGCCACTGCAGCTGTAGGAGTGAGGCATCCAGGCTGTCCACAGTGGTTGCTGGTGACCAGGGATGGGGCCTACTCACTGGAATCCAGGAGGCCACTGCAGCTATGGGAGTGAAGCATCTAGGCCGTCCACAGTGGTTGCTGGTGACCGGGGGTGGGGCCTACTCACTGGAATCCAGGAGGCCACTGCAGCTGTAGGAGTGAGGCATCCAGGCCGTCCACAGCGGGTGCTGGTGACCAGGGGAGGGGCCTACTCACTGGAATCCAGGAGGCCACTGCAGCTGTGGAAGTGAAACATCCAGGCTGTCCACAGTGGGTGCTGGTGGCCAGGGGTGGGGCCTGCTCAATGGCCATTGCAGCCGTGGGAGAGCCCGCCCAGTGTAAGCTGGGGCCCCAGGGAGAAAGGGACCCACACCCAGGAGCTGGGAGAACAGACACTGAGCCTTGTTGGCACCTCTGTCCAACTTTACTTGGCATCAGAAGGCAGGAGAGCCTCACAGGTGCAGGGGGTCGGCCTATTCGGTCACAGAACACTGGAGGGGAGAAGAGAAGAGGTCTGTGGGGACAGGTGGAGAATACCCCAGACCGTCCACCTGAGAAATGCAGGAGATGGTCAGCATTCACAGTTCTTCTGACCATAATGAAAGGTGTGTGCCACAGTATGGGACAGGGCAGCTACCATGTCATTATGTAGTGATGGCTGTTCATTACCACAGGTGTTTTTCGTAGAGGGGAGAGGAGGAAAGAAAACAATCTTAGGCAGAGTTACTGTGGCACAGAGTTACTGTGTCGTCCTCTGTGTAGCTAATCAGGAGACCCAAGTTTGCCTCCATAGCTTCCTCCTCTCCCATGTCCATATCCCCCCCCCCCCCCCGCCGCTATGCAGAGTAAGATTTATTCCAGTAACTAGGAGGTGTACACTGCCAGGTCACTTAGGAAAAAGGCATGTCACAGTCTGGAGAATGCATGGGCATCCAATGTGCTCCCCCTCCTGTGAGGGGCTCAGTGCGCAGGCTGCTCTGTGACAGACACAGGCGTCCACTGTGCTCCCCCTCCTGTGAGGGGCTCAGTGAGCAGGCTGCTCTGTGACAGACACCGTACCATGTCCATGCACAGGCGTCCAC